TTCCGTTATGTAACTACTCTCATTTCTGAGTCTAAGCTTCCAACAGTTTTTGTATATTTAGCAATTGGACCCTAGGTATGATATGAGTCACCTCCAGCTCACCATTCTTTAAATGATGTTTAAAGTGAAGATACAGAAGCTATTTAAAAGGTCATAGACGTAATCTAGGCAAGAGATGAAGAAACTAAATTAAGGCAGAAGTAATAGGAGACAGTAGTTCCAAATGGGAGAGATGGAAGAGAGCTCCTGGGGGAACTAAGCCTTTCATATGTCTTCATATCTCTGGTATAAATGTTGGACTGCTGTATTCTAATGACTTGTTCTGTCAGGTGGAGCGGATATTGCCCTAAACATAGTGGATTTTAAAAAATCAATCATCCAAATAAAAGACTTATCATGGAATAGGAAATGAAGGATTGAGTTATGGGTCATTACCACATGGTAGAACAATTCACTAGTTTCTTAGTCCTGGACTCGGAAGATTCTAAGACATGAATGAGGGCATACTCTCTAAGTTGATAGCCTTGGAAAAGCAAAACAAAACACATTCATATGTACAGTTATGTGCCACTTAACAACAAGGATATTATCTGATAAATATTTGTTAGGTGATGTTGTCATTGAGTGAAAATCGTAGAGTGCACTTACACAAACCTAGATGGGGTATAGCCTACTACACACCTAGGCTATATGCTATAGCCTATTGCTTCTAAGCTACAAACCTGTACATCATGTTACTGTAGTGAATACTGTAGGCAATTATAACACAATGTGTGTATCTAAACTGTCTAAACAGAGAAGAGGTACGGTAAAAATACAGTGTAAAAGATAAAAATGTTACACATGTATTGGACACTTAACGATAAATGGATCTTACAGGACCATAAGTTGCTCTGGGTGTGTCAGTGAGTGAGTGGTGAACAAATGTGAAGGCCTTGGACATGACCATACACTGCTGTAGACTTTATAAGCACTGTGCACTTAGGCTACACTAAATTTATAGAAAAATATTTTTCAGGCTGGGTATGGTGGCTCACATCTGTAATCCCAGCACTTTGGGAGGCTGAGGCAGGCAGATCACAAGGTCAGGAGTTCAAGACCAGCCTGACCAACATGGTGAAACCCTGTCTTTACTAAAATTAAAAAAATTAGCCATGTGTGGTGGTGTGCGCCTGTAATCCCAGCTACTCAGGAAGCTGAGGCAGGAGAATCGCTTGAACCCAGGAGGTGGAGGTTGCAGTGAGCTGAGATTGCGCCACTGCACACCAGCCTGGGTGACAGAGTGAGACTCAGACTCAAAGAAAAAAAAATGTTTCTTTCTTCAGTAATAAATTAACCTTAGCATACTGTCATCTTATTTTTTACTTTATAAACTTAAATTTTTTGACCTTTTGAATTTTTTGTAATAACACTTAGCTTAAAACACACATTGTACAACCGTACAAAAATATTTTCTCTTTTTATATCCTCATTCTACAAGGTTTTTTTTTCTTTTTAAATTTTCCTGTCAAAATGTGAGACACAAATGTGCATATTAGTTCAGGCCTACAGAGGGTCAGGACTATCAATACATCCAAGACATCACCAGGCGACAAAAATTTTTCAGCTCCATTACAATCTTATGGGCCCATAATTGTATATGCAGTCCCTTGTTGACCAAAATGTCATTATGAGGCACATTATTGTATTTTTTTGATTTACATGCTAAATATTTGAGTTCATGTGTCAATACACTAATATATCATGTCTACTATAGAGCATATACAATTATTTTCAAGGGAAGTTTTAAAAATAGATATGAAGAAGTTCTGACACTTTTTTCCCCACCCAGGGGAATCATTGTTTTTAATCACTTGAGTGTTATGCATTGCTCTTTAAAGATTCCTGCTCTCAGGAGCACCCTCAGGGTAGAATAGAAACTGTCACTCTCCCAAGGCCAGGACACTGCCTTCTGGAGGTACTTATGGAGATGCACTGGAGTCTGGGGTCTTGGAAAGCAGGCATATTTGTTGGGCCAGTTTTATGTTAAGTTCTGTAGTCTCATTTCACCTGGCACCCTCAAGTTTTTTATTAAATACTACAGGCTGTTTTTTAACTTTGTTCCCTAGTAGGAAAAGTTTGAGTTCAGGAAAAGTTCTGTGCCCAAAATTGCATCCAAGAATTGAAAAGGCAAATAGAAGCAGAGGTTATTTTTCGTATACTTATCTGTTCATTTGACATACATTTACTGAGCACTTAATGCGCACAGCTCTGTTCTGCGAGCTGAGAGGTAGCCTGGAATAAACCATACAAAAATGGCTGCCTTCTCAGAGCTTATATTACTGTGGCAGGACCAGCATTCCAGGAAAGGGGAGCAACAAGGTCAGGGTCCCTGAGACAGGAACATGCCTGTTGTGCTGGGGAATAATGAAATTACCATGGTTGAAGCAATTGAGTTTAGGTAAGAAGAACCTTAGGTCAGAAAAATAAAAGGTCGGGGCAGGGTGCATGGGATTGGGGTCGCAGATTGTATAGGGCCATGTGGCTCAGTATAAGAATTTAGCTCTTACTGTTAGGAATTTGGGAAACTATTGTAGAGTTTTTGCAAATAAGCAACTTCATCTAACAGTATGTTAACTGGATAATTCAGGTGGCTAGGTTGAGAATAGACCAGGGCAATAGCAGTGTATAAGGGCAGAAGCATGAAGATATGAAGATCAGTTAGGATTCTAGTATAAAATATTAAAGTAAGGTATTGCAAATGAGAGAGATGATGTTGGCTTGGGCTACATTGACAGCAGTGGTCAAATTCTGTTTATATTTTGGAAATAGTGCTGTCAGGGTTTGCTAACTGATTAGATGTGGCCTTTGAGAGAGAAAAGTCAAGGATGACATCAAAGATTTTGCCTTGAGCAACCAGGAGAATACTGTTACTCGATCTCAAGTAGGAAAGATAGTAAGAGAATGGAAAGTGAGGTGACCAGTTTAGACATGTTTAGAGTGAGATGTTTATTGAGTCTATAATATAAACAACGAAATTCAGGTATTGAATAGGCAAGTGGATATACCAATTGGGAGTTCAGGAGACAGACCATACTGGAACTCTCAATTTGAGTGTCAGTAGCATATAGATGGCATTTAAAGCCATAGGACTGTGGTAACCCAGAAGGGAATGTGGGTAAAATAAAAAAATTTCTGAATATATTTTGTCGTTACAATTGACAGGATTTACTGACTGTCTAAATGTAGATATAAAAGATAAAATGTGAGTCTGCCTTTAAGGATTTGGAAACAATAAAAAAAAAAGCTGCTGGTGGATTGACTCCAGGAATTTCCAATAATTGAAGGTAAAGAAGAACCAGTAAATTGGATTTAGGGAAAATGTTTAAAAAGGTAGGAATCAAACGAGGCAAGTATGATATCTTGGAAGCCAAGCAAAAAAAAAAAAAAAATGTTTCAAGGAGTAAGCAATGGTCAGCTGTGTCAAATGCTGCTGTATTTACATGAAAACTCAGAAATGATCATTTGCTTTCATATAATAGAGATCATGGTCAATGTGGCTTAAAAGTAGGGTCAATTGAGTAACAGGAGCAAAAAGGCAATGATGCGAACTGCTTTAAGTGAGAACAGAGGGAGAAAAATTGTAGACAAAGATTATAAAATTTTAGACAATCCTACTGAAGAATTTTGCCACAAAAGAGAGCCATTGAGGTGATGGTTTCAGGGGGAGATGTGGTCAATCTTCCTGTTTGTTTTTTTAGGATGAGGCAAATACCAGTATACATTTATGCTAATAAGAATTAGCAGAGAGGGAAATTTTAAAAATACATATGAAAGCAGGGAAGAAGAGTTTACTGAATAATGTTTTTAGATAGGCTAGAGAGGATGGGGTCTAGTAGATTCAAGAATGGTGCTGACCTTTGCTAGGAACATGAACATATCATGAACATACATGTTCATCATATATGAAAAAGAGAGATAAAGTTTTTTTTTTTTTTTTTTTTTTTTTTGCAAGGTTTAGATAAGTGGGTAGATATCTTGCGAGCTGGTAGAGTTTCTCTTCTGATTGGATCTTTTGCTCAGTGGTTCAGGAAAAAAGGCCATGAGCCAAGGAGGTGTGAAAAGAAAGGGAAAATAACAGACCACTTGAGGTGGATTTTCATGAACTGGAAATGAAAGATGGCAGGACTGTGTTTTTTCCTTTGGTCACGTTTCAGTGGCTTAGGGCAGAACAAACAGTTTAACTAGGGTTTTGGTTTAGGCACAGATAGGTAAGAAAAGGAAGGGGGGAAAACTTATTGAAGGTTTCTGCATGGGAATGATTATGACGATTGGTCGTGAAATTTCGTTAAGTAGTAAAGTGAAAACAGAGTGTGGTGGTCCAACTCAGGGAAAATAGGTTAAGACTAACTGAGTATAGGTACAGCGAATTAGATTTTGAAAGGACTTTTGGAGTTTCGTCACTAGACAAAGTGAGCTGGAATATGAGAAGTGATGTTTAAAAAGTATATGAAATCGAGATTATTGAGGAATTGCAGTTATTGTGAAGACAATTTGTAGCATGTAGCCTGGGAGGTGAGAGGCTGGGAGTAGGTAGGAGGCAAGATCACTGGAAGAGATCCATCCCTATCCCCATCACAAGGATGGTAAATACCAGTTTGCAAGACTTGAAGCCTTTAGATCTATTTTTTAAGAAGGGGCTATTTTTTTTTTTTTTTTTTTTTTTTTTTGCTATGGTTTTTTTGGAGACGGAGTTTCGCTCTTGTTACCCAGGCTGGAGTGCAATGGCGCGATCTCGGCTCACCGCAACCTCCGCCTCCTGGGTTCAGGCAATTCTCCTGCCTCAGCCTCCTGAGTAGCTGGGACTACAGGCGCCACCATGCCCAGCTAATTTTTTGTATTTTTAGTAGAGACGGGGTTTCACCATGTTGACCAGGATTGTCTCGATCTCTTGGCCGGGTGCAGTGGCTCAAGCCTGTAATCCCAGCACTTTGGGAGGCCGAGGCGGGTGGATCAGAAGGGGCTATTTGTAAGAAAGCTGGTAAATCTCTAAGGTTCATGATCTAATAGGAAGACTGCAGGTGTGGCCATCAGGCCCAAGTCCTAGGTGAGAATGAAGGTCTGCGAGCCCCTAGGACCAGATCATAATGACCCTAACAGCCATTAACGACCATAACCGCCGTAACAACCATAACCGCCATAACGGCTGGCTGTGCGAGACCCTTCCAGCATTTCCACTTTTGTCAGGGACAGGAGAAAGCTGCGAGCCAGGTGCCAGTGCAGAGGGGCAGAGCGGACGGCTAGGAGCCTAAAGAACAGCCTAGTGTGACGGAAAGACTGCAGCCTGCGCCGCCATGAATAAGCTTTTCAGCTGCTGGAAAAGGAGGAATGAGACCCCGAGCCGTACCTCCTCAGACCTGCCCATAGGCCAGGGCTACAAGCTTCTAGATAAGGATGTAAAGAAACTTCACAGAGCTGCTTCACTCGGGGATTTGAAGAAGCTGAAGAAATACATTCAGGTCAAGAAATATGATGTGAACTCGCAGGACGAAGAATACAGGTGACCAGAGCTGAAGAGCCAGTGGGGGAGGACGGGCTGGGGCAACTCCTCCAACCAGAAACAATACAACTAGGGGCTGTTTGACACTGGTTGTCACTCCGGGTTTCTCAGAGAGAAGAGATTGCATGGTAACCCTTGGCAGAAGGTCCCACTCTAACTTTCAGCTTTTTATTTAATTTTAAAAATATGCTTACTTGAATGTTTTCTGCCTTTCCTGAATCCATCCCCTCTTCTCACCGCCTTAGTCTCCACTGGGCAGTCCATCTTCTCCCCACCTTGCTGCTTTGCTCCTTAGTATTGATTGTCCCCAGGCACTAAGCTGTACAATTTTGCTAATGGGAGAATAGGAAAAGAGGCGACTCCCTAGAACGTTGGTTTGTCAGATTTTAACACTTGAAAACATCAAAACAAGTAACTTTTTAATGTTTTGAGAAAGAAACTTGCAGAGTTTATTGATACTTAAAAAACTTATTTGGACAGAGAATGATTTTCTTTTCCCTTCTTTGCTATTCATTCCATTTCACCAATTTGCTTAAATCTGAATTCATTTTCTCTCCAAATATATGCTGCAAATATGGGTAACAACTGTATAAATGTTTCAGATTCTGGGACAACATGATGAATAAGCCAGACTATTCATTAACCACACTCATTACCATTGAACTTGTCAAGTCACAAAGGTCCCTTTAGCCCCTTGGGCCTTGATACATCACAGTCAGCAATAAGAACTCTGTTACACCACTTTCCTTTCTTTAGTTACAATTTAAAAATTTAAAAGAGACTTTGAGAATCTCTAAACTCAGAGTTGCTGTTGAGTTGGGGTTGACAAACAGAGGGACTCCCCAGGTAGCTGCATACCCAGGTTAGCGTTATAACAAGTACAGTTTGTAGGCTCTATCTTGGCATACTTGAGAACACAATAGCTGCTTCAAAACAGGCATTTGAACTCGATGTTTACTCAAATTCTCATCTGCCAGAAAATGTGCGAATTTTATGCTGGACAGTTATTTTTATAAGAGCACTCAACATGATATCTATTCTCTTTTGATGTTTTTTTCCCATCTTAAAAGATTTTTAAGTGTTAACATATCACTATTGATTATAGGTACAATGTTTTACAACAGATCTCTAGAGCTTACGTTGCTTGACTGAAACTTGTCCTTTGATGGTAACTTCCCATTTCTGGGTCTAAGATCATGTCATTTGCAAACAAACAGTTTTGCTTCTTTCTGATTTGGATGTTTTTTATTTCCTGTCTTGCCTATTTCCTCTGGCTGGGACTTCCAATACTATGGCTAATAGAAGTCATCATCCTTTCCTAGTTGTTGATCTTAGAGGATAGCTTTTCTTTTTTTTTTTTTTTAATTATTGAACATGTTGTTAGCTATGGACTTTGATGCACAGCCTTTTTTAAGGCTAGGTAATTTCTTTCATCCTCACCCTGTTTACTTCTCTGATCTTACATCCTAAAACTCTTTCATTCGTTTACCTCCAGCTACACTGCCTCCTTACTGTTCCACAGAAATGCAAGACAAGACATGCATTTAGGGTTTTTGGACTTGCTGGAACTCTGCCTGGGGTGCTTTTCCCTCGGTCATATGACTTGCTTTTTCACTTCCTTTAGGTGTTATTCAATTGTTACCTTACTAGTGAGGCCTTCCCTGGCTATTCTTTATCTACAATTGTGCCCTTTTTCCCTCACTGGCATTTCCTACACTTCTTCCCTGCTTTTCTCATTAGAACTTAATATTTTCTGATATACTTTGTATCTTTTAAGTTGTTTTGTTTACCTCTTCTAACATGTATGATTTATAAAAGAAGACATTTGCATGTGTTTTGTTCACTGATATGTCTTCATCACCTAGAACCCTGCGTGTAGCCATAGTGAGTGCTTAATATTTTTAAAATAAGTGAATGAAAGGATGAATACATACATACATACACATATACACATATAAATTATTATAGGATAATTTAAAGATACTATTCAGCAATAAAAGCAATGAATTATGGATATATGCAAACATATGGGTGAATCTCGAAAGTGTCATGCTAACTGAAAGAAACCAGGCACAAATGACTACATTTACATGAAATTATAGAAAAGGTAAAGGCATAGTAGCATACAGGAAACAACAAAGAAAACTACAGTCCAATATTCCTGATGAACATAAGACACAAAAATCAGCAAAATACTAGCAAACCAAATCCAGCAGTACATCAAACAGCTAATTTAACACAATCAAGAAGGTTTTATTTCAGGTTTACAAGGATGGTTCAACATATGCAAATCGACAAGTGTGATTCATTACATAGACAGAATTAAAAACAAAAACCAGATGATCACCTCAAAAGCTGCAGAAAAGCATTTGATAAAATTCAACATCCTTTCATTGTAAAAACCCTCAACAAACTAGGCATCGAAGGAACATACCTCAAAATAATAAGGGCCATCTATAACAAACACACAACCAACATAATACTGAATGTGGAAAAGTTGAAAGCATTCCTCTAAAAATTGGAATAAGACAAAGATGTCTACTCTCTGCTCTCACCATCCCTATCCAGCATAGTACTGGAAGTCCTAGCCAGAAAAATCAGGCAAGAGAAAGAAATAAAAGGCATTCAAATTGAAACAGAGGATGTGAAATTATCTCTCTATATAAAGATATATCTTTATATCTTTACATGGATATAAAGATGGAAATAATAGACATTAGGAACTCCAAATGGGGGAAGGGCATGAGAGTTGAAAAACTACCTATGAGATACTATGTTGACTGTTTGGGTAATGAGTTCGGCAGAAACTCAGCATTATGCAAGAAACCCATCTAACAAATCTGCATATGTGCACTCCAAATCTAAAAAAAATAAGGTGACATAATGCAAATTACTAGTTACCAGTGGTTTTAGATATGGGGGATGGGAAAGACTTGACTATTGACTGTAAATATTGACTGGTCAAAATTTATAAAGTTGTATAATTTTATTATAAATTATACCTCAATAAAGCTGAATGAAAAAATCTCATATTTCTGTTTGAACGTGTGTGTGTGTGTGTGTGTGTGTGTGTGTGTGTGTGTGTGTATCTGTGTGTGGAGAGAGCAAGATTGAAAATGAGAAAAAATCTTAAAGGACATATACTTGAATGACTGTTTCTTAGAGACATGAAATGTGCGCAGAGGAAAGTGGATAGAGTGAAATGGTTATTGAGGACTATTTGTTTTGTTTGAATTTTTAATAAGGTGTATCACAGTGTTTTATCAAATGTTTCAAAGTCTCATTCTGGAAGCATTTTGCTGAAGGTCTCTGAGGTCTCATGCAAGCATATATGCATATTAATAGCCTAATAGAAAAATATTGTTAGATATGTTTTCTAGTAAAAACAATAATACTGAAAGTTGGAATTTCTGGTCAAAAAAAAGGACAGGGGAACTAGCATAAGCAGACCACTTTGCCCTGTATGTACCTATGCAACAATCCTGCATATTCTTCACATGTACCCCAGAACCTAAAGTGCAACAAAATATATATTTAAAAAAAATTAAGATTACTATCCATTAATGATGTCTAAGAAATACTATGACAGTTTATATATGAATGTGAAAAAGCAAATGTGAAGAAAAAACACAAAAAGTAAACAAGTAAAAATAAAAATAAATAAAGTAAAAAAATACAAATGAAGTCGTGTGTTAACAGCCCCAGAAAATACATAGCCTGAGAGAGATAAATGTTTTTCCTGATCTTGATCCCATAGATTAAGGCTTTCTTTACTCAATGAAATGGAAATACTTAATAAAGTTCAGTTTTGTAAAAAAATAAAAATAAAATACAATCACATACACTCTGCTCTTACTGAAAGCAAATAAATGGATTCTCAATAGGTCCTCCAAAAATGTCTGCTGCATCCTGCTGTGTACCTCACTCTTCCACCAACTTGACTCTAAAGCCTTCAGTAACAAATCTCATAAATTTCATAGCCCATATTAAGCTCCAAGAACTTAGGAAATCAGCTGCAAATTCAGTAAAATAAAATAGCCACGAAAGATTCCACTTGCTAAGGAGGTATTAAACAATATAGCCTCGGGTCATTTACACAAAATCTGAAAACAAGAACTAATCTAGGTTGAGCACCCATGAAACACTAAAAGGTTCATCGTATTCACTCAAACCGTCAAGAGAATCTTGCAAAGAAGGATTTTACTTAGAATATTTGACAGCCTTTTAAACAAGTCATCTTAGTTTAAGAAACAAAACAAAACAATTTTAAAGAAAGAGTTAACATTTACATTCATTTTATTTTAAATTTTAGAGCTCACAATTGGAGCAAGCAGCAAAAAAAAAAAAGATTTTGTTGTGGCCACTTATTTATATGTTTACACATATAATGTAAATGCTTCAAGGCCAATATGAATGTTTTCCACCTAATGTCAAAAACAAAAACAAAATGTTTCTATTTTTTGGAACAGTCGAATGCAAAAAGTATATTTACAGATATCTTAGAGAAATATTTTTAAATCAATATTATTCTATTTGTCAAAAAATCCTTTTGTCAATATACTCCCAATTTAAGACTTTAGTTTATATTGTTACTTCTTTTTTTTTTTTTTGATGCTCCCAAGTTTTATTGCAAACAGAGATGTAATTACAGCAGCCTAAAGAAGAACATAATGGCTATTCCCATTTGCTTCCTTCTTTTTCAATTCCTCTACCCTTAGCACTATACCTGTTATTTAAATGGAGGTTTTCCAGGAGCGTTTTTAATGTAGATATGTCCAGCCCATTGTTAGGTTTAAAGCACCTGTTAAACCTTTAACTATATGTCTTTTTTTTTTAATTGTACTTTAGGTTCTGGGGTACATGTGCAGATCATGCAGGATTGTTGCATAGGTACACACATAGAAAGGTGGTTTACCACGTTCATCCCCCCATCACCTATATCTGGTTTCTCCCCACATTATCCCTCCCCACTCTTCCCACTCCCTGCTTTCCTTTCCCTA